GGCGGGGGGAGGGTTGAGGGGGGGGACCCTGGCCCCGCGGGGGAAAGACAGTGGGTCGGCAAACTTATTAGTCAACAGAGCCAAATATCAACAATACAACGATTGAAATTTCTTTTGAGAGCCAAATTTTTTAAACTTAAACTATATCGGTAGGTACATTGTTATTAACTTAATTAGGGTACTCCTAAGGTTTAGGAAGAGCCACACTCAAGGGGCCAGAGAGCCGCATGTGGCTCGAGAGCCGCAGTTTGCCGACCACGGGGCTAGAAAATGCGAGCTTCGGGCTCCAGCAGGGGCTCCGAGCTCACCAGCAGAGTCACCTGCCTCTCTGTGCAGTGCTTGCACCCAGGAGGTGACGTCCTCAGTGTGAAGCTGGAACGGGGAGGGGCAGCTGGGGAGGCCGGTGCCCACAGTCTCTCCTCCTCCAAAACCTCACAAACGTCTTTCACTCGGTTTATTGGCTCCTAACAAGTGAAGGCCAGACTGGGCGCGGCTGGAGGAGGCGGTGGAGAGGGCGGCTGCGTGGACGTGCGAGGATGAGAGTCCCAGCGATGAGAGACCGACCGGGCAGAGGAGGGGGCGGCCGAGGAGGGGGGCAGTTTAAAGATGTGACCTTCCACGTGTCTGAATCCAGAGGCGCACGCATCAGGCTTTGCAGGACCCGGCTATGGTTTCCTCCGGTCTAAGCTAAGCCAATTGTGACACGGCCCTCCCCTCCCCATCCTGATTCCAAGGGATGGCCGAGGCGCATCCTCCTTCTCACCAGCAGATGGCAGCACCCGCTGTTTGCCGCGGCCGCCACCCCAGGAAGAGTCAACCTCTCTTAAGCTTCTGTCTTCAGACCCAGGGCCTCAGTTTGAGCTCTGGGAGGCACTCCAGCTGCCACAGCCCCACCCTCATCCCTACGGGAAGCTTCCAGCGTCAGGTTCTCAGGGGCATCACCGCAGAAGGCAGATTCTGGCTAGAATTCTTTATAGGGGAAGGCAGATAATCCACGAAGGTTTCAGGAGCGGAGAGGAATGGAGAAGCGGCGATCTTTTTTCCCTCTAACATGAGTCCTCCACTGACCTAGGAGCTCCTGGAGGGCAGGCGCCAGCACTATGCCAAGTCAGTGCTCAGAACGTGTGAGGAATTAATGAGCCTATTGAATAACACTTACTTTTTTAAAGATTTTTTTTATTGATTTCAGAGAGAAAGGGAGAGGGAGAGAGAAACATCAATGATGAGAGAGAATCATTGATCGGCTGCCTCCCGCATGCCCGACACTGGGGATCAAGCTCGCAACCAAGGCATGTGGCCCGACCAGGAATCGAACCTGACCTCCTGGTTCATAGGTCGACGCTCAACCACTGAGCCATGCCGGCTGGGCAAAGAACACTTTCAATTGATTGAGTTAATTCTTACAGGAACCCTTAGAAGTAGAACCTAATATTTATCGAGTGAGTAAACTATATGAACCCTCCTGGAAGTCAACAAAAATTCCTTAACACCAGTGGTGGTAGGGTTACAATGCTGAGCAAGGAACACGCTGCGTGGTGGTCACAGGCGTGGGCCTGGGACCTCACTGGCCTCGGGCAAGGTATTCAGCTGCTTTGTGTCTCAGTTCCCTTGTTTATAAAATGGGGATGATAACAATATCCACCTCATAAGGTTGACACGAGTTAATTCAGGTAAAGAACTCCAAATTCTGCTGAGGAAACAAGCAATAAAAATACAGACTCTAAAAGGTACTGCTGGAGAACAAATCAGAGAGACATGCACCTTAACGTGGCTTTAGAAAGCTCCCTGGGAGGGGAAATAAAACCCAGCCAGGTGAAAACTTTCCAGGTCGGGGCCTGGAGAAGTTTGGGGGGCCATGGAGAGCCTGGGTCTCCCACCTGGTCTGGTCGGGGTTCGGAGGGGGAGGAGGTGTGTGAGTGCTGACGGGGTGGGTAGGATCTGGGTGACTAGGGCCTGTTGGCCAGGTGGCGTCAGGGTGGGACCTTAACCTGCCAGCAACAGAGGAGTCACCGGGCATGTCTTTTATGGAGGATGTGCATGGACCAGGCTTCTCTTTTAGAAAAACCTCCCCTTTGTGATGACTGGAAGAGGGCTGGGCCCAGGTGCAGGCTGGGAGATGGTTGCTGCTGCGAGCCTGGGACCAGGGCGGCCTGTGTGGAGATAGAGTTCGGCGCTTTGGTCTCAAAGATGGTGGAGGAGGTGGGACATATGGAAATCAGAGACTGGCTTCTGAAGGAGGATGCTCAGAAGTAACAAAGACATGGAGAGAGGCCGGTCAACAAAGACGGAACCATGCCCAGCACCTGCTAAATGGATGATCACAGTCCCTCCGCTTTCCCTATGCCAACCCACCCCAGCCTTGCAGCCCAGCTTCCCCCACTCCTGACCACTCGCTGCTGCTCACAGTTCTCAAGCCCCTGCCGCCCTTGCGACCTGCCCAGGCCCTTTAATGTTCTCCTAATTCCACTCAGATCCTTCCTGTCATCGTCATTCCCACCCAGGTCCCATCTCTGAGCGCTGCAGTATCCACATAATTAATTCACCTCGGTTTCAGATTCACACCCTCCACCAGCTGGCAGGGTGAGCTTGCTAACAGGCAACCCCGCACTGGTCACTCCTCTACTTAAAATCCTCTTGGCCTTCCCGCCATCCCAGCTTCCCAGCCCGGAATGTGAGGCTCCCGCCGTGTCCAATGCCCGACCACATGCCTCACTCTCTCCCACCCCGAACCTTTGGCTGGTCCCTCCAGCTGGCAGGGTCTTTACCAGAATCCTCTGGTTCCTCCCAACCAGCTTTCAAATGCTCCTTCTCCCTGAAAGCCACAGGGTCTGGCTCATCATCCACCCTGCTACTGCCTGGCCGCTGTCCTTCCCCGCCTGCTGCTCTCACGGGACCCCTGGCCCAGTTTGTTTGGGGCTGTCTCCTCTCTGAGCTCCTCAAGGGCAGGATTCTGCTGCCGCAGCCTGTCTCCCCAGCACGTGGCAGGGCCAAGCCTTCCCAGGCCTCAGCGTGCTCTGTCTTGTTCGCAGTGGCACCTGGCGCTGCGCAGCGTGTGGGGCCCGGCAGCAACGAATACGCCAAGTGAGCGAGCGATGGAATGTGTGCTCTCCACCCCCCAGAAAGCGGCAGTCACCGGGACCACCCTTGTGAGGTGTCCCGCTCTCACCCCCTGCGCCCCCATAGCGAGAGAGAAGGGGTGTGCAGGATTCTGTAGGTGCGTGTAACCTGGCACACCCATCCAGAGGCTGCCACCCCCTGCACGCCACTCCAGCGCCGCCCGACAGAACTGCCGGTGACAAGGAACCTCCCGTCAATCCACACGCCCTGCTGGCTTCGAGGCGTGCTTAGTGGGACTGAGGCTCCGAACTTTGCATCCGCTTTCACTTTAATTGATATCAATTGTAATGGCTGTGGGTGGCCCGCGCAGGAATGACTGCAATCACCTTAAAATGCCACCGCAGAGCCACTGAAGGTTGGACAGGATCATTGCTATAGTAGAAGGTAAGACCAGCTTGGAGCGGAGGGGCGATTGTAATACATCAGGAAGCGTATCCAGCTAGATAAGCTAAACCACTTCTGAGTCAGCATTTCTCCAACTGACGTGATTCCGGGGCGCCTAACTGGTGCTGGACACAAGTTCCATGTTCATTGACGCCTCCTCGCCCTGCGGAGGGCTGCTCCCATTGCCGGGGCCTTTGCGTCCACAGGAAGGGACCCGTTCCAGTGAGGCTAGCGCCGTCCGGGGCCAGGGAGGGGGCCGCGGGAGGCCTGGAAGAGCCACCCTCCAGGCTGGGATTGAAATGGACATGAAACTCACAGCAGGAACCCAGCATCCCATTCTCTTGTGGGATTTTTAGAGGACGTGGACGGAAGCCCTTCGCTGCCAGCCAAGTAGTTCTGCTCCGAAGTTACTTGCTTCTCCCCGTGGGCTTGTCCTCTGCTGCTCCACAGCGAGCCAACATGAACTCATGAGCTCGGCCTCCCTCCCAGAGCCGGCGTGTCCTGAGGCGCCCTGTGTCAGAGGGGCCGGATGCTGCGGGCCGGGGCTCCGCTTCCTGGGCTCAGAGCGCGTGGGGCCCTCTGGCTGCCTCACTCGTGGGTTGCCCGTGGGTTCCGCGGCGGAGGTTGTACATTCTTGGAGACCAAATCCTGGAACCAGCTCTCAGAAACAACACCCTGCGTCTGCGCCCGTCCCCCCCTTGCCCCCCCTTCCCCCTCCCCCCTCCCAATGCTTCGCTCAGCAATGGCTTCCAGTGGAAGAAAAGGCCCGGCTTTAACTCCAGCACATCCAGACACGCTCTGAACAAACCTCCGGGGTTGCTGCTGGGTCAGCAGGAGCAGAGACAGGGCTTTGCAGAATGTTCCACATTCCTCGGGGCCTAAGCACACATTCTAAGAGATTTCCTAAAAAATAAATTTAGATTTATGTTCCTTTTTATCTGGTTTAAAGAAACTCTGTAATTAAAAAAAAAAAAATCCAAAGCCAGCGAAAGCACAGAGAATGGGTCTAGATGAGAAACTCCGTGTCCTTGGAGTCCTTGCTCATCAAGCGACGCCTCGGGTCCCTGTGCCTGCTGTGCCCACTCCCGCAGCGGGGCAGCCAGGCAGGCACAATGCCCAAGGTCACCATGCCCTGAAGGACGGAGAAACCACACTTGCGACTGCCGTGCAGCCATGGAGGGCGGGCTCCAGCGCCAATGTGGCAGGAGACCTGCAGGCTTCCGCTTCCCAGATGCAGGGAGATCAAAGAACACCCAGCCCTCCCTCCCCGCTGGGTTGTGGAACACTAAGGCCAGCGCACAGGCCCGCTGAGGAAGGGACAATGGACAATGGCTTCGCCCGTGTGCAGGGGGAAGGAAGCGGAAGCAGCGGCTCCCAGGGGCTGCCGCGCTGGAGAGATTTGTGTTTCCTTCCCTGTGAACACAGCCTCGTCTCCGGCAGGTGCTGGCTCCCTGGGCTCCCGCCCGGCCCTGGAGCAGCTCCCGATGGCTCCAGGAGGGGTGTGAGGAGGCAGCTGGGCCTGGTAGCTGGCGGGACCACCCAGACATGAGACCCCATTGCCCAGGGGCCAGGAGGCTTCTCTCATCCTGGGCTGCCTTTGACTTGCATCTGCCTTTTGTTTTGTTTTGTTTTGTTTCTTTAATAAGGACAAATGACTATTCCAACATCACTTGTGATGAACAAAAATAAGAGAACTGGAAACAACCTAAATACCCAGAAATTCAGAAATGATCTAAAATATGATGGCCCATCTATGGAAGAGAAGGCCCCGCAGAGGTTAGTAGCCAATGGCCTGTGCCTGCTGAGCCCACAGGGAAGCAGGGAGAAGCCAGCTGCAGGCCCCGAGGCCCCTGTGTCTTTAAAATATGCACAGCAGCCCGGTCTGCGTGGCTCAGTGGTTGAGCATCAACCTATGAACCAGGTCATGGCTCGATTCCCGGTCAGGGCACATGCCCGGGGTTGTGGGCTGGATCCCCAGTGTGGGGCGTGCAGGAGGCAGCCGATCAATGGTTCTCTCTCATCATTGCTGTTTCTATCTCTCTTTCCCTCTCCCTTCCTCTCTGAAAGCAATAAAGATATATTTTAAAAATAAATAAAATACACACGGCAGCTTGACTGGAACCCTGCGAGCCTGATTGGAAGGAGCCATTTGTGAAATGTCCTTTCTGAGACAAGGACGTTTGAGGGTGGACTGAGGAGGGAATGACATGAAGGAATTGTTTGTTTAAATGTGTTTTTAAAACATTTCCATTGTGACAAGATGCTATGGTTACGTCAGAAAATGCCCATTTTTTTAATGGATGCACACCAGAGAATGTAGGGGTAAATGGGCCTGATTTGGGGATTGGTTTTAAAATAATTCAGAAAAGAGGAAAAAGACAAGAAGGATAGATGGAGTGATTGAAGACGGGTAAGCAGAGGTCGATCTGACCATTCTCTCTCCTTTTGGGCACGTCTAAAATTCTTCATAACAACATATCTTGCATATATAGGGGGAAGTGGGGGGAGGGGCACCGTAAAAGCAGACCCTCCCTGACACCACCCCTGCCACCTACAAATGCCGCTCTCCTCTGCTGGGAGGGTTACTCGCTGGTTCCTGAATGGGGTCAGCAGTTAGCACCCAGCACTCACCCCTGCGCTCATCCGGAGGGCTCGGGAGGGAGCCTGCAGCCCTAAGCATGTCTGGAGCTTCCTCTTCTCCGGCGCTGGACCAGCTCCCTGGCAAGCCGCCCTCTAACAGCGGTTATGTATGTGGCGGGCATGGCCTGTGCAGCTTGGCCCCAGCAGCCAGGGGAAACTCCCTAGCACTTAGCTCCAACGTGGGAGGAGCGTGGAGATGGGGGGGGGGGGGGGCGTGGGGACAGGGAGATGGAGGAGCCAGAGGTCCTGTGACTGCTGCCCAAGCTGGAGAAGCATCCCTGCTCTCGCCAAATCCTGTGATGGCTGTGGTCCCGGTCCTGGTCCTGTGAGATCACCCCAAGGGCGGCCCTGCAGCCCTAACTCTTCCTCCCCCGATCCAGAAATTACACAAGCCTGTGTCGAATGCACAGCGATGTATAAAGTTCACAAGTCACTGAAAACTCCGTGCTCTGTCAGTAAGATGGTCTTGGTGACACAGCTCTCCACAGATTAAGTCCTGTATCGTCTCCCACCCTGAGAGGAAGGCCCCTGGCACCTGTGTTTCCACCACCTGCACAACCACCTCCCTTGTCTCCCCCTCCAGCTCCAGAGGCCCAGGGAGCAGCCGCACGGCAGGCTCCCCGCACGTGGGTTTCAGGGAGGAAGTGAGGCCCCTGTCTTTGGGGAGAGGTTAAGCATGAGGCCTTGGGCAGACAGTGCTGGTGCCAGCTCCGCCTCCCTGCCAGTCACATACCCTAAGCCCGATGCTGACTTCCTAACATGGGTGTGAGATTCTTCCAGCGTTAACTCAGTGCTGCAGAGTGAGACATGCCAAGTGCGGGCACACCAGTATTTAGTAACTACCGTGTCACCTCTGTCACCCCCACTCTGGGCAAGCGCCCTGAGCCTACCTTGCTCATTGTTTCCTTACCCTTCACCCAGGACAGTCCTCGCTATAGATTTGCTGAATGGATGAATCCGTCCATCCAGTTGCCACTGACTGAGAGCCGGCCAGGAGCTGTGCTATGCCCAAAGGATGGAGCAGTGAACCGAAGAGCAAAGTCCTGGCCCCTCCGCGCTTATGTTCTCGTGGGGGAGACGGATGGCGTACATGTCGGTGAGCAGGAGGAAACAGAGCAGGAAGAAGGGGGAGAGGAGAGCCAGGGGAGGGGAGGTCGCCCTTTTTTTTTATGACAAACGTCTCTCTGAGAAGGTGACATTGGGGCAGAGACTTAAAGGACGCAAGGGAGCAAAGCCGCAGGTACACGTGTGTTCTGGGCAGAGGCCACGCGTGTCAAAGGGCCTGGAGCGGCCGTGCGTGGTGCTTCTGAGGCACAGGAGGCACTGCGGCTGGGTGGGATGAATGGGAAGGCTTGTAACTCTTTTTCTCTCTGATTAAAAATGAGCACACAACACAATTCAGTCATGGAAAAAGGTGTATTAAAATAGTCACAAATGTACAATTGAAAAAGAAAACAAAAAACCATGAGCCTGATGGTCTTCCCCAGCTGGATACATTTCCATGGAAAAGCGACAGAGGGTTTGGATTGTATCTCTGAGTAACCCCTTGAGTGCTGCCTTCCAACAACCACATGGAATTCAGGAGGGCTCGTGCTGTCGGTAGAGGACGCGGGAAGGGCTCTTCCATTTAGAAGCAGCCCCGCGGTTGGCCTAGGACAGGGGAGAAAGGGCCCCAAGACCCACAGGAGTGGAGTGAGGGGCGGAGGGAGCACTGACGGTGTGAGCCGGAGTGGTGGCTGGTGACGCCCAGCTGCCAAGTGCTGACCCATCGGAGGGGCTGGCTGGGTGGGAGGTGACGTGTCGGGCAGGAGGTCGCATGGGGAGCTGAGGGAGAGGCCACCCGTGTGGTTGGAGGGAGTGCGGGCGGGTGCTCTGGGTGGCAGCTCTCAAAACGAAACGAAAGGAGAAACTGGGGCTGTTGCTCTCCCGAGCCATTAGGAGTGAATAGCTTATTCACAGGCCTGGTGAGAAGGGAGAAACAGGAGGACGCCCCGTTCTCTGTAAAATGGGGCCGTCAGGGAACACCCCACGTCTAACCGCACACCTGCCTCTGGATGTGTCCTTTCCGGCTTCCAAACAAAGGCTCACGAGTACCGTTACCTGGGAATCCGTCTGGAGAAGGGGACAGCCCAACACCCACCCTCCCTCCCCGCACCCACGAGGGCTTGTTTTCAAACGGATGCAGGAAGCTTTAGGAGGCAAGGTGGACCTGGGTGGACCGTCCCGGGCGGACTCAGGGTCCCGGGCTCATGCTGGGCCCATGAGCAGGAGGAGAGAGGCCTCAGGGCGTGTACTCCCCCCCCACACAGCGCAGACCACAGCTGCCAGGGTGTGGCGTGACCACAAAGCCCTCCCTGCATACGATATATAAATGGAGTGTTGGCTGGACCCTGGAGAAGAGCCAGCAGCTCCTCAGAAAACAAGACCACGTGTCCTCTCCCATTTGATCACCTCCACACCTTTCCACCCAAACCCTGCTTGACACCCTTGAGAGTCCTCCTGGAAGCCGGCCAAACTGCCTCACAAAGACGACAGAAGCCGGAAGGAAACGGAAGCAGCTGGTGGCAGACCCCACACCACAGGGGAAAATGGACACTGCCGCCACTCCACTTCCCCAAACATGTCCTGTGACCCCCCGACACTGGGGGCTTTCAGATCATTTCACATCTAAAACAATTATTTTAATACAAAAGAATCCAGGAAATGGAGGAATGACAAATATAAATAAATGTTTAATGATCTCACTTTGCTTTTTAGTCCCAGTAATAACAGAAATCATAGGTTTGAGATGGGGCAGGGGTTGTTGATGGGACAAAATGAATGACCTGGACTGTCTAGATTTTTCCTCATCTCTTTGTTCATCAATTCCATCGATGGGGAAAATGTGGAAAACAAACAGGAACAGAGAGGAGATTCCCAAAGTAGACGTAGAAGTCCTAGTCCTACTTGCTGATCTGAAAACACCAGCGGCCTTGAGCCTCAGAGGTCCCTGCAGCTCCGAGCTCTCTGACTGCGTCCAGAAGGAAGATGATTCCCTAGAGAGCGCCCTGGGATCAGACAGCGGCTACCTAATTACAGCCAAAGCTCGCCTCTCCAGGGGCTCCCGTCCCCAACAATTCACGTCTCAACCTGGCAACCCTTTCCTGCTGAAACCTGTGTGATCAGTCATGTGTCTCTCAGGCGGTGAACAAAGGAGAGAGTCTGAGTCCATTTACCACTAAACCTCACATTGCTAACATCTCAGGAAATTGTGCTGTGAATATTTTTGTAGGTTTTTTTTTCTTTTGTTGCTGCTTATTATTAAGCTTTCATTTTTTACATTTCATCTCCTTTTTGTTAAATGTTCATTTACATTTCATGCCCTTTTTGTTTGAAAGTGTTTATTTAGAAATTAAACAGTACACTAGACATGTACTGTATGTAAGAACAGATCATTTGGGGGTCTGGAGTGGACTAATTCAGTTTACATGATTTCTAATGGGAAAAAATGATTCCGTTTTCGAACAGCCTTCTGGGACGAATTAATGTGAGAACGGAGGTTCCGTGTACCCCGTTCCTGCCCACCTGGAAGGCAATGAACTCCTCCCTGGCAGCTGCGCGGGCTCGTTTGCAGCAGCAAAGAAAGTAAGTGACACCTGCACTCTGCTCCCCAGGCCGCGGGCTCCTGTTTCAGTTCCCTGTGAAGGGTCCCGCTCCGAGAGCGCCGAGGAACTGGCCCCGCAGCTCTCCCTGCTGACCTTGCTGTGAACAAGCTGACATGAAAGGGTGTAACCTTAACATCCGTGTGACAACTTATGAAGCAAAAATGCTCTTTGCTTTAGAGCAGGGATGGGGAACCTTTGACCCAAGGGCCATATAAGGCTTGCAAAGGCATCAGGGTGAGTTAATTAAATGTTTGACCAAATATAGCAGATTAATTTTTAAGTTGATAATTTTGTCTAGCTCAAGAATACACTTGGCAGAAAAAAGGTTCCCCACCCCTGCTTTAGAGAGAAAAAACATTAACAAAAGTTTCTCAAATTGTCTCCAAGTGGCATAGCTAACGGGTGTTTCCTAAAAACTACAAACAGTCGGAACAGACAGTGGGGGACAGGCCACCCTGGCTATGTGTCCTGCATAGTATCTTCATTCTCCAACTACAATAAATGCTAAGACTGGTTAAGCCCTTAGACAAAAAGGCCAAGTCTGTTGAGATACTAAGAGATCGCTACATCGCCATTAAGGCACACCATATCCGAATGATGGTGACAGGAATGTGGCTGAATTTCCCCAACTGTAAATGACCCTGGATGCAAAAAAGTAGAAAAAAACAGCGAGACAATTTACATATATGTAGAATCATACCATCTTTTCGTCATGCACCACTGCTCCTCCCATCCGAAGATTAAATAGAAGATTTATACATATCCTTTACATCTCCTCCCCGTGCCTGTCCGTGTCCGGGCCACACGTGCTGTGGGCCACACTGCTGCACAAGAGTCCAGTTTGAATTGGTTTCTTGCTTAGGATATGATCTGGGTCTTCTCTTAATTTTTCCGGATGTCCGCATACACCACAGACTCTGACTTGTTAATCTTGTCACTGTGATGTCCACCAGAGTGGTCTAACTGCGCATATATGACTGGGCCCTGGAGGAGAGAGGTTGGGTTAGGTTTGGAACACCTGGTGGTCGCTTCAGGTGCAGTAGAAGCAGTGACTAAAGTGACAGCGGGGGCGAGGTCAGGGGCTCAAACATCTGACAGGTGGCTGCACATCCTGACCTTAGAGTCCCAGAGATTCTAAAATTATAAATAGCAACAAGAAAAACACAAGAGCCCTGGCTTCAGAAGACGCGTTTAACTGGCCTGCGATCCAGGGACAGTCTCCTTGAGAAGTCTAATGCTGTACTTAAGCTTTCAACTTGGAACTAATAAGCTCAGCAGCTAAAAGCAAGTAGTTTAAAATAAACATCCTTGCCCTGGCCAGGTAGCTGTTGGTTAGAGCATCGTCCAGATGGCCAGGTTTTGGGTTCAATCCCTGGTCAGGGCACACACAAGAAGCAACCAATGAATGCATCAATAAGTGCAACAACAGACCGAGGCCCGCCCCCCCTTCAGGTTGGTATGTGATGCTCTCACATCTGTCCTGGGTACTATCACATCACATTGTTAACACTGAGTCAGAGACTCTCTACATTCATGCCAGGAAGCTGCAAGTTAAATGTAAGCCCAAAAGGAAGAGAAGTTGAAAAACACACAACCTGTTTTCCACTACAGCTGGCCCTTGAATGAGTTGGGTTTGTACTGCGGGAGTCCCCTTATATGAACATTTTTCTCAATAATAAACTGGAAAGCTTTTTGGAGATTTGTGACTCTTTGAAAAACCACACAGATGAAAGGAGTAGCCTTGAAATATCGAAAAAATTAAGAAAAAGGTATGGCACGAATGCATGGAGCATGTGTGGATGCTAGTCTATTCTGTCGTTTACCACCATAAGACATGCAGTCATAGACAGCAGGTTGGGAGTAGTTAAGTTTTGGAGGAATCAAAAGTTGTATGCAACCCAGCGTTGTCCCTGGGTTAACAGTACTAGGACCAGAAGGAAAACAGTGTTCTCTTGCGGGCTAATTGACCCCTGCTTACAGTCACTTCCAAGGACAGGACAGACCCTGACACTGTATGTAACTTCCCAGAGAACACCCCCACCGTAATTCATAAACACCCATAAGGAGTTTTGGGGTGTGCTCGTGGGAGAAGGAGCTTATACATGAGACACACTGTAAAAATGGCTACAAATCCTTTCTCAACTCCCTCTGGTGTTACATGACAAATGCTGAAAAGAGACAATGAATTGACACAAGGGTTGAACAACTTCTCACCATCCTGCAGAAAATGCCAGAGGCAGGCCTGGGCGGGCAGGGGAGTGACGCCAGGAGAGATGAGCCAGTCCTGACTCGGGGCCATGGACAAGCAGGGGGAGGGGTCGGCCCTGAAAACAGGTTGGGGCGGGCAAGTTCATAAAGGGAACAGTGATCCCTCTTCATTCTCTGCTCAACTCCCTGTGGAGACATCAACCAACTCCAGAGAAAGGACCCTCAGCAACTGACCGTGGAGGCCCCCAAAGCAGCCAGCCAGCCCTTTAACACAGAGAAGCCACGACCCAGAGCTCCAGCTCAGACCTGTGGCCGTGGGTCTGAGTGGAGAACCCAGGACCACTGGGCATTTCAGGAAAGCTTCTGACACGAGACAAAGAAATTATAAGAGAAAAGGAGACTTCAACAGAAACAGAGCCAAATCAGTATCAGAAGAAAGCTTTAAAAAATAGAGCTTGCAAAACGAGAGAAAATGATATACTCAAAGAGATACAACGCCCTGACGGGTTTGGCTCAGTGGATAGAGCATCGGCCTGCGGACTGAAGGGTCCCAGGTTCGATTCCAGTCAAGGGCATGTACCTTGGTTGTGGGCACATCCCCAGTGAGGGGTGTGCAAGAGGCAGCTGATCGATGTTTCTCTCTCATTGATGTTTCTAACTCTCTATCCCTCTCCCTTCCTCTCTGTAAAAAATCAATAAAATATAATAAAAAAAAAGAGATACGACAATGCATCCATGAAAACAAATGCAGGATATTATAACCAGAGAATAGGAAACAGCTCTTGAGCTGGCGTCAGAGCTGAGCCCGCCGGTCGGGACGTCACAGATGCAGCTCGCCATCCGCCTTCTGTAGCCAACATGCGGGCGTGTCGCTCTTCCTGCTGTGGGCCTCAAGAGGCAGGAAGGAAGCTGGCGCTCACTGGGCCCCAGGTTCCCGGACACAGCCTGAGGCAAGGTGGAGGGTGTGCGGGGCCTTCACATGCACTCCAGGCTTCTGCCCATCACAACATATAAAGCAACTGCACCTGGATTTCCCCCAACAACTTGTATTTCCTCCAAGTCTTCCTTAACCCTACGGAACAGGAAGCTGCCACTGAGGAGGGCCCAGAACAGGGGCTGCTTTCTTTTCTACTCCTCCCCCCAAATAAAAATATAGATTTATTTTTGTGGTCCCCCAAAAAAGATAACAGATATTAAATACTCAACAAAAGTTGGAGGATAAAGTTGGAGAAATTTTCTAGAAAGAACAAAAAAAGCAAAACAAGAAAAGGGAAAAAAACGAAAAGATTGAGCTAGGACATGGTCCAATTCCTAACAGGAATTTCCAAAAGAGAGAAAATGAAAGGAGGAAAATTTCCAGAGATTAATAGAAGAAAATATCCTAAACCGAAGGACATGGTTTTCGGATTAAAAGAACCCACTGGATAGCCAGCACAATGAATAAAAGAAGACCCACAATTTTGTGCAGTTTCAGAACATGAGGAATAAAAACCATTCTGAGAAAGGGCACGCGAAGAGGCAGAAATCAGAACAGTAGCAACTCAGCACTAGAAGCGGAAGTCAGCAACGCCGCCAAAAGCAGGAGGGAAGTGATTTCCCACCTGGAATCTACGCAACCAGATCCTCATTCAAGCCGAGGGAGGAGAAAGCAATGTTACACGTGCTGCAAACATGTATTAGCTCCCAGTGTTGGAGGTCAGAGGGCTGACCCGGGGCTGCACGTGATCAAGGTCAGCAGGGCCGAGATCCGCTGCCAGACCCTCAGGGAGGACCTGTCTCCTTCCCCTCCCAGCAGATGGAAGCTGCCTCATTCCTTGGCTCGTGGCCCAGCCTCCATTGTCAAAGCCAACAGCATAACCTCTTCAAATCTCTCTGGATCTGACCCTGCGGCCTCCCTGCGGTCACCCTTGGCCCACACAGATCATTCAGGAAAATCTGCCCATCTCAAGATCCTTAACACAGCCGCGAGGCCCCTTCTGACCGCTGAGGTCATACATCCCACAGGCTCCAGGGCAAGGATGTGGACATCTTTGGAGGCTATTACGCTGCCTCAAAATCTTTATCTCCCGTACACCCTTTCTCAAGAAGTTATGGAGGATACGCTCCACCACAACATGGGAATAAACGAAACAGGTGAAGACATGCGGTCCAAAAGAAGAGGGGCCGGAAATTCCTCGGGAGGGGAGGCCTAGGAGGACTGTGGCCCAGCAGCCCGAAGCACAGCAGAGGCCTCGGTGCGAACAGGCCCGTCTCCAGGAATAGAATGAAACCAACGGAGCATGTGCATGAGGGTGGATGAGTGTTCCCAGGGGTTCTCATGGGAGAGCTTTGAGATGGATACAGATAGGTACTTAGAAGACTGAGCAAATAAAAATAAGGCACATATTAGCTCCATAAAAACAAGACAATTGTACAAGAAACAAATATATGTGGTTCCATGGTGAAAACAACGGGGACACGTCACACTGAAAAACATCTACCTCAATATAGTGAGCTAAGCATCCTGGGAAGAGGCATGCGTGCATACAGTAGGGATGTGTGTGTTGGGAGGAAGGGCTAGGGGGAAGAAAGAACTAAATTCTCATTTCCACAATATGGAGTCAATGAGTAATATCCAAAACTGAAAACTCTAGAAACAGAAATACAATATGAAGATAAATACCAGAAGAAGTGGCTGAAAGAATGGGAAGCGTTTGGCTATGATTTCTTCAATGTTTTTTCCTCTTCCCTTTCCTCTGAGACTCCAGTCGGGCTGCTGGGATCTGCCACAGTTACAGTTATAACAGCACAGCCACGGCACCAGCCACAGCGCTGGGTGCTGTGCAGGTTCCAATAAAGCTATGTCTCTTCGGTGCTCCCGACAAGTAGCAGCATAAGCCTCTGCTTGCTCATGGGGCCTACTCATTATTCACTACAGGCCGACCTTCAACTTCTTCTAAAGAATTCATGCAAGCCCTAGCTGGTTTGGCTCAGTGGATAGAGCGTCAGCCTGCAGACTGAGGGGTCCCAGGTTCGATTCCAGTCAAGGGCACATGCCCAGGTTGTGGGCTCAATCCCCAGTGGGGGGCATGCAGGAGGCAGCCAATCGATGATTCTCTCTCATCATTGATGTTTCTCTCTCTCTCCCTCTCCCTTCTTCTCTGAAATTAATTAAAAAAAAATTTTTTTTTAAAGAATTCATGCAAAATAATTTTTCTGTTTATTATCAATACCAAGATCAACGCCCCCTGCTGATTCCTTGTCTTTAAACCACCTCAATGAGGAATGCAATTCACTGGATTTAGTTCCCTGAGCAATTAAGGAACCTTTTACGGCTGCCAAAGCCACCTCCCGTTGGCCATGGGAGCCACATCCTAAGGGCACAGTCTGTTAGTGATGCGCTGGTGGGAACCTTTGCTCAGGTCAGATTCCTTAACTCCTTTCCCTCTCTTTCTGTCTTCGTCTGTCTGTCTGGCTGGCTGTCACTCTCTCCCTGTGTCTCGGCTCAGCACTCCCTCCCGCACCAGGGTGGTGGCAGCGCCCACCTGCACAGCCCGGGGCAGCCAGTGTTACCTGGTGAGATCCAGAAGGCAGGCTCTTTACTAGCCCCTCTGTGTCGGAGGGGAACTTCCGCGGAGCCTGCTTAACCGGTGACACACTCTCTGAGGTGCTGCAGCTGATCAGTCGGCAAATTGGAGAACAAATGTAAAAAAAAGAATGTTTTTAAACAAATGGAAACAAAAATACAGAAATACAAGTGATGTCGAAACAAAGAAGCAGCAGATGGACATGAACAAAACAACAAAACAATGGTATGGAAAGAATCACGTATATTGAAACTGTCTCCCTGATGCTTGTGGTTCCACATCTGTGAAGCTACTGCTGGCGAGTGGGAGCCCTTGGCCTGTTTGCAAGAGCCACATCAGCTGGACGGATCCTTGCTGTGTATCCTTGGCCCCCCGCCTTTCCCCTCTGCCATCCACGCTCCTTTGGGATAAAGACTTAAGGGAGCAGCTATACCTTCCTAAAGGCAATTCACTGTAGTGAGCATCAAAGGCAAACCTCTTCTGAATGCATTTCAAAAATTACAGATATACACTCAGGCTCAGAGTCTTGGTTTGTCTCACTCCTTCCATTCCCTGGTTCCCATATTTTGTTTCCCCGAGACAATGACCAAACTAAAGAAGACCCGGGTGCGAGTGACAAGAAGCTGTGGAATGCCCATCACACGGGCTGAGCCCTTCGGGGCAGGGATCCTCAACAAGCCCGATTGCATAAATAAATCAGGGAAAGCGAATGCTGGGCGGTCACTCATCAGCGATTTCCTAATGGGATGTGTCCTCAGCAGAGCTTAAATCCTTTATGATGTATGTTTTTTAAATCTTAGAGGAATTTTTGGGAGGATCCCATTTTAAGTGTCACTCCTACGACTGAAGCCCCCAATGAATTCGCTACTGTGCTTCTCTGAAACGGGAGGTTTTATGACCCAAACCAAAATGGTTTGACTCTTCTAACACAAAGAGTGTCCCAATCATTAATAATACAATTCACATATGAAAAAGAAAGCTGAAACACACACACACACACACACACACACACACACACACACAGACGTTTTACATGAAAAGCATGCATTTTCCGATGATCTCAAGCCTCGATGTAACCTGACAACCCCATCTCACTGGGTTGATGTGCTCAGTATGTTTCTAAAATAGACACGGACTTATCGGTGGACAAATCATAATAGCTGCTGGGTTAGCTCAGAGCTAGCTGGTTAGTTGCCACCAAGGGAGACGGGCCGAACACACACATGAGTATTAACAGCCACGGGCAATGGGATTAGTTACCATGTGTCTAGTGGGAGTAGGAGAGCCAGCCCTGTGACAGTCCCAGGGTCAGCTTTTCTGAACAAGTGGAGGATAAGCAGGATCTATCCCGGCACACGAGGTGGAAAGGCAGGGGAGGGGAACCTGAGTAAGAAGAACAGCAGCATTCACGATGCCATGCAGGATTCGAAGGCACGCGCTCCGCCCCTTTAGGAACCCAAGAGCAAGAACTACAGAGTACGGCATGTCACCACTTTGGATTAGTCTCATGTTGGAAACCAACACTCCAGATATATGTCATCAAAAAACACTCACCATGCAAGAGGGTAGATACAGGTCAGCAGAACAGAGGCATTCCAAGCAAGTAAAATCTGAATTTGAACACTCAAGCTCATTAAAACACAGCACTCCTAAAAACTAGAACCTCAGAGCCGAGAGAGAGAGAAGGTTCCCAGCATCCACCAGGCAGCAGTTGGGCATGCAGCCTCAGAGCAGTCCCTCTGGGTGGCTGTGGTTAGCCCGTGCACCTGGGGCCCAGCTCGTGTTAGGAATCGGCCTCCACTCTCTTACCACGTGAGTCCTACTTAGCTTATGTGGGTTAGCTTTCCAGCTGGCGTAGGGAGAAGAGAAGGTCCTTCAATTAGACTCACACCCCGAGTTCAAGGGTATTCTCTTTGAGAAGACATAAACAAAAAGATCTACGTTTCTTTACTGCCGGTATATGTTGGTTTTCAACCCTTATTATCTCCATTGCGATGAGTCCAGCCATACATTCAAGAAAGATCAGTCATTCACTTGCCAGCAAAACTATAAAAAAGGAAGCCCTGTGCCATCCCATGGGGGTGGAGGGGTCATTTATTAGCACAACTCTTCTTGATTTGTTTTATAGCTGCCTAACTGAAAAGAAGCACCTGATGAGATTATTGCCAAGAGATAAAAATTAAACTCTGAAACTGGGTAAGTGATGTCTGTGGCTTAATAATGCCACTGGCAGAGTGGCTGGTACTTAAACAGAGCCTGGACCGCTGAGCCGCTGGCTGCACCGAAGAAACTGGGAAACAGGGATTTGTGTCCAATCCCACACTGACCAGCAGGCCACTAGTCACCTAAGCAGACTGCCTGACTCTGGCATTAAAGCAAACTGTACTAGTAGCAAACTCTTCCCAATTCTTTTCTCCATAAAAAATACAGACGTTTTTGTAAACCCTGGTCCCTACCCTCTCCCCTCCCCAGAAGCAGTTTCTCACCCGGTGTAATCCCGCTTCGAGCTTCTCCTTCTGTAGAGGACAGCCAGAATCATGCTGATGAGGAGGGTGAGACCCACAATCACAGCGGTCACGATACCCACCACCACCCACACCGGAAACATGGGCAACACCTCTGGAGAGAAAGAACAAAACAGTGTTAAGGTCCATTGTGACAAAGAGAAGAAATGGAGTTTTATTCAACTAAGAAGCAAGTTATCGTACCCTCTATTATTATCCAAATTATGAGATCCTAGTATCTAAGTAATGACATGCAAAGAGTAGCGGATAGAAAATGAGATACAGAACTCAGCCTTTCTGCACACACAATCCTTCTCAATGCGCTAGGATTCAAGCAAAACTGGGATGTGGCTTTACCTCCATCTACTCACCCACAAAGCAGACGTCGTGGGAGACACCAGAACCTGCATTTCCTGCTACTTCTCCAAAAATGGAAGAAACCGCTGTATTGTCTGCACAAACGCTAACACTTTCTCTTGGAGAATACTGAGACAGTACTGGCCTCCTTCTTCCCCAGGCTCAGCCCATCGAGCATCGTGAATTTGGTCTTACTTCTAATTCACATGAAAAAGTGATCTTCCTGAACCTGGGCCACTGGGCTTCGGATGGCAGATGTACACAAGGAGAGACCGGCTGCTCACCCCGCATGTGGGCAGCAGTGCCCACCCTCAGGTTCCCAGAAACAGGGCACATAGCCACTGGCAGGTCGCTCCCGGCACACACACCCCACAACGTACTCTCGTTTGCCACTCAACACGCGACACGGGACGGCGCCTTTGCTGCCCAGATACTCCGGAGGTACCTTTCTCTACAACATAGAGGCGGATGTATCCCGGGTAGACGACGATGTCGGGAGGGTTTTTGACGTCACAGATGTAGGTGCCGTTATGGATGAACTGTATATTTTCTATGTTGATCGATGCGTCTTTCTTGTCGAGGTCCCCAGCCCAGGTGATTCTGTCCTTGAAGGGCGGGTAGTCCCCGATGTACACTTGCCCTTGGGAGTAGTGGAAAAACTGCAATTAGAGAAAGAGGACACGTGAGCGCTTCCCAAAGGCAGGCGTTCTCCACGCTGCGCACGCGGTGTGCTGTGCAGGCTCTTCGCAAAGACTTCAAAGGGAAAGAAACACGTCCCATTGCAAATGTCACGGAATCTAAGCCAGACAGGGATTTGGTTTCTGCTGAAAAACACACTTGTGTGTCTTCTCTCCTCCTCTTGACATCCCCGCGATTCAGGGACAACCACAGTGACAACCACGCATAGTTTTATACATAAAAGGGAGACTCAAGCCATTTCCTCAAGGTCACAGCTGATAACAGGTCCCGCAGAGAGTCACAGAGGAGGAAGTGAGGCTGAGCACTCAGTGACTCGCTGGAGATAAAGGTCTTCGCCCCGGGCTATCCTCCTAGCACTCCCTGTGGAAGTTCTACAGTCTCCACTTCACAGAGGCAGAGCGTGGGGCCCTGGTTCACAAGCACCCAGCCTAACCAGCACTCATCTGGTTCTTGACTAACCTTCCTTTCAACCCCACGGCCTGTACTTCTGTTCTGCCACCTCCTCAGGGTGACTCATCGACAGTCTTACTCCTAATTGCTCCCGGGCAAGAGCACAGGCTGCTATCCCCCATTTCTGAACACCTCACAGACTCGCTGCACGGAGAGCTCCCGGACTATCACTGGAACGAATGGACGTGTGTGCATGCGTGCGTGTGTGCGCGTGTGTGTGGAAATACTTAAAAGAAATACAAATAAAAGTGAAGCAAATGGCAGCTGAACAGATGCAGGATGAATTGTGAATGGAGTCAACAAGGTAAGTCAGGGGCTGCGCTGTGGAAAAGATACATTTCAAAATGGGATGTGATGGTGGAGGAGATGGGAGGGTTGGCAGGTGACCGTGACACACAAACACGAGAAAACAAGCTGCGTTTAAGAGAAACTGAACTGGTTTTTTCCTGGAGAGCCGGAAGCAAGAGAAGGGCCCTGAAGTCTGTGCCAGACGACAGCCTCTCTGGGTTTGGGAGAGATGGGTCAGAAGGGCTCACTGAACACACTGCAGGGGTGGGGAACCCTCTGCGGGAGGACTAGCCAAGAGCAGGCAGGCAGGCACTCCTACCGACACGGTGGTGTGGGATCCCTCTGGCTGGAAGCTCCAGGAGATTGTGGTCAACCTGCTGGTGGTGTTCGCAGACTTGAACTTGCACGGCAGCTTCCCTTGTGTCCCATTTGCCACGTAGATTTCTTTTGGGGTGTATACCTCCAAGGCTGATACGCCAGCAGTCACTGGAGAGAGAGAAACAGGAAGGGTTAAGAGTAGGATTGCATGGCCCTGGCTGGGTAGCTCAGTTGGTTAGAGCATCAGCCAATGTGCCAAAGTTATGAGTTTGGTTCCGCTCTCTCTCTCTCTCCATCTCTCTCCCATCCTCTGTGTCTTTCTCTCTAAAAGCTATAAATAAAAATTAAAAGAAAAAAGAGTAGGCTTTAGCATAAATACCACAGTGCATATTTATCAGAGAAGATGACAAAGATACAAGAAAATTACTATATACACACACACACACACACACACACACACACATACAGTAATCTGCTGCCATCATGTGCTATATAAATCTCTGTCAAAATATTCTATAGCCAGGTACTTCCTACAAACAGGATAAATTGCTGATGGTCTGGGATAATTTTATTTTTTAGTAACAAGATGTTTTTAGTACTACTATAGTTTATCCATTCACTTGCTGAAGGACATCTTGGCTGCTTCTCTGATGGTCTGATTTTATTTTATTTTTTTAAATATGTTTTTATTGATTTCAGAGAGGAAAGGAGAGGGAGAGAAAGAAACATCAATGATGAGAGGGAATCATTGATCAGCTGCCTCCTGCACACCCCCTACTGCGGATCAAGCCTGCAACCCAGGCATGTGCCCTGACCTGGATTCAGACTGTGATCGCCTGGTTCATAGGTTGGCGCTCAACCACTGAGCCATGTTGGCCGGGCTCTGATGGTCTGATTTTAAAGATGTGGAGGCTATAGTTTTACCTCTTTAATTTTTTTTAAAAAAATTCTCATCTGAAGGTATGGTTTTCCTTAATTCTAGAGAGGAAAGGAAAGGAGAGAGAGAGAGAAACATTGATTGGTTGTCTCCCTCACATGCTCTGACTGGAGAATTGAAACCATGACCCTTTGGTGTACGGGATCCGAGCCACACCAGCCAGGGTGGATATTCTTCTTCAAATTGTTCTCACATTCACGTGTTACATTGTAGTTGCTAGCACAGTGAACTTTTCTCATCTTCCTTTTTTTTTATTGATTTGAGAGAGGCAGTGGGGAAAAGAAGGGGGAAGGGAACGAGAGAGAAAGGAAGAAACATTGATTTGTTGCTCTACTTATTTATGCATTCACTGGTTGCTTCTTATATGTACCCTGACTGGGGATCGAACCTGCAATCTTGGCATATCAGAATGATGCTCTAATCAACTGAGCTACCCGGCCAGTGCTTATCTTCTATGTCTAAAGCAATGAAAGCTATTCTAGGTAAGATGACGTCATTTAAAAGCCATGCTTTCTTATTTAACCCACCCACAGAACCATGCCTTCATTGGTGAAGTCGGTGTGCTAGGTACATGCATACTCACGAAGTAGTCGACCACACTGGGTCCCATTTTAATTCACCCGTTGACATTTTCCAGTTAGCCTAAGCCCAGGAAATAGTACTTAAAATCCTATCAGTCAGAATATAAAAATAGCTTTTCCCTCCAAGATCCATAATCAGAGGCAACTGCAGGAATTATGAGGCTTGCTGCTAAAATAAAATAATCTTCCTTCAGAAGGAGACACTTCCATGGAAGCAATGAAAGTTACAAAAAAACTTATTTGACCTAAAATTGGAAACCAGGAGAGCAAATTCAGAAAAGATTAAAAACACCCATCTTCAAAATAAGGTCTTTTTCTAAGACATCACTTGGAGAGAACCCGTATCTGGAGTGTCCCAATTATTCTCAGAATGTCACGGACCAGCAGAGTAAGGAGGCACTGTCCCGGGACGGAGGGGCTCAGTCAGAAGTTCTCCTTCCTGAGTCTTAACTGGGACTCCCAGCCCTCACAACCATCTTCCAAATATTTATTCTCAGGACACAATGGGCACTTTTGGCTATTCTTTCAAATAAGCCGATAGCCACACTACACCAGGCAGATTTTTTCTGCTAAAGAGGGTGGATTATTATTATAGGGAACAATGGATGATTATTTGTGGTCCAAGCCTCAAAACAAGCCTTCCTTCCACACAAGAAGCAAACAAAGGGCGTCCCTCGCCATTGTGGGCAGCAGCACGGCAGCCCCGGGACCTGGAGTTCACCACGCAGGGCAGAGCCAGGCTGGCCGCTCTGACCCCTGATTCCAGGAAGCGGCGCGGCCTGGCAACCATGACTTACCCTGTGATTCCGCCGGTGTTCCCCACAGTGAGGAGCCCCGCAAGGAAAGGCCGTCTTTAAAGTCAATAAATAAGGTTTCTCAAGGATTTTCCCAAACCAGGCCTGCCCCGAGGCCTGGCTGCAAGACTGTCACCCTGAGTGTGATTGACAGATGGTCTTAGGCCAAGCGTCTACGTTCCCAGCCAGGAATTTGAACCAAAGACTAGTCAAATCCCTGAATGGCTTTTGGGCAATCTGTTTAAGACAAACTTAATTTCGCTGCCGTCTTGGTCCAGGCCCCACCATACTGCACTTGGTTATCTCAGTGGCTTCCTGCTGGTGGCTGTTTCCGCCTTCACCCACTCACCTGCAGCCAATCCAGGGATTGGCCAGAGAGATCCGGTCCGAATGCCCGGCAGCTCTTATCACTCCTTTGCTCAGAACCCTCCAGGGTCCCTCACATCAGCCAGGATCAGGCCACAGTCCTCACAGGCCTGGCCACCGCACAGACCTCTTCTCCGCGTCCCCCTCAACACACTGCAGCGACCACGCTGGTCATCTGGGCTCCTCTGCTTGTGATGAGCACCCCAAGTCTAGAGACTGGAGGTGTCCTAGGCGATCGTTACGTGTGAGACAGGAGGGGAGAGGGATCCTCTGTTGAAACACTGAGTCTCTGCACAGCTGACCCCAGGGAGCAGGTCCAGCGGACGCCCTGCGTAACACTGCCCGCGGTCACCACACACAGGACAGACCCCAAAGTGCACAGCGCTGCCGTCTCTGACCAACCACAAGGGGCCTGAACGAGACAGTTGGGAGGTTTCTCCCGTCTGGGTAACAAGAGGAACTAAACACAGGTTTCCTCTGGGACCACATTCCCTGCAGCCCCAGCAGGAGGAGCTGGCTGGCCTGCTAACAGGGGGAATGGGGTGCTTTGTGCAGACTTCCTCTAAGGGACTTGGGAGTACATGGAAACACACACTGAGCTCACTGTGGAATTCAGAGGGCTCGTCCTCAGAGTCATAAAGAGTTTTCAGGGGCTAGTGAAAACAGAGAATGTAAAGAACGCTGAGATGTAGAGAAACTATTGTTCTAACCTACACCCTCCAGGCACTGCCACTGGAATCGGCCTGAATAGGAGAGTAAATAGGTTTCTTTTAGGCTGAAGAATTAATCATTGGAATAGTGGCAACAATTGCTGCAAAAAATATGAAAGCTTCAGTTTAACAACCCATAGATGGGAGGGAAAGTGTTGAATCCCAGAAGAACCAATCACCTCAGGTACAGAAATGAAATGAAATGAAATAAAATGAAATGAAATGAGAAGATGAAGTGATATGCCAATGTTTTCCTATCCCGGCCAACTCTGGATTCCAGGTATATGTTAAGGCACACATACGCTTCACCATGGCAACAGGAGCTGAGCTCACTTTCTTCCTGAGGAAGGAATCTTGCCTCTAGAGTTGAAGGGCAAGAAAACAAACGAAAAGAGCCCTTCGTAGAGGAGACAGAGTCAAATGAAAAGAGCCTGAAAAATCATGAGATAAGTGATCAAAAAATTTGAGGAATCTACTCACCAGGGGTCACATATCAAACCCAAAAGTTGACGTTCTTCTATTTTGGATGGAGAACCAGCACAGTTTGGCGGTTAGGGGGAGGGGGAAGCAAATGGAGAATATAAAACAACATCCATCCCAGCCACAACAGAAAAGGCACATTCAAGGATGGTTTGCCCAAGAGGCTATTCCGGACAGGATCTTTCAATACTTTAAATGGCTGCATTAACATAAGTAACGCCTCCCAGCGAAGCTGTCAAGATGATTTTACTCTAAGTGAACTCAAACGCTCACACCAGAAAGTCATCTGAAATACACTGGAGAAGCATTGCTGGAGTGAATCAACACTCTCACGGCCTAGATGGGGGTTGGAAACTGTTCTCATGGAAGCAATTCCTGGTCGTGTCACTGCTGGGTCCCCTGTAGTGCCCTGGTTTGTCAAAACCTCATCCTGTTAACAAACTGTGTTAAGATTCTCCTTGAGATGAAAAGAAGGCTTTTGTTTTGAAAAACTGTGGAAGCACTTTGATGTCACCAGTATATTCTCCTGCTTAAAAGAGTGCAATAAAGCAATTTATTTAAAAACAGCTCTCCAGCCTGTCTGTCTGGTGTTGGTACACAGAGGGCGGTGAGACTGCAGTGTCTCCTGGTACAAGCATGGACATGACCTTTTACATCACATGAAAAGAGAGGAGCCAGAGAGAACACTGGCACAAAATTCACCCAGTGGTCATGACTGCAGCAGAGGCACCCACTGAGGATAATGTTCAGTTTCCTAGGTTAGAATGACAGCATGCAAGCTTTTTTATTTTTAATTCTCACCTAAGGATATTTTTTATTGATTTTAGAGAGAAAGAAAGGGAGAGACAGAAACATCGATGTGAAAGAGACACATCACACCCTAACCAGGCAATCAAACCTGCAACCTAGGTATGTGCCCTGATCGGGAATGGAACTCACAACCTTTTGATGTATGAGACGACACTCCAACCAACTGAGCCACTGGCCAGGGTACACGAGCTCATTTTACTATTCCTCCATCGACTCTACACACACCCCATACCTACACTCAATCACATTTTCTGTATATAGTTTATTTTTCATAATACAAACCGCTTTTTTAAAGAGAGAAGACATCAGTAAAGTTATAAGATTTGCTTCTATAATCTCCGTATGCTCAGTGAAAGCCATCAGCACATGACCAGGCTGGGCGTGGCCACTGCGCATGGTACCTAGGAGATGGTCCACCCTCCTAGAGCAGGGCCCCCTGCAGCTCACGTGATTCCTTCCTTCCAGAAGTGACTTCCTCCCAGTGTGAGCCCCAAACTCTCTGGGCTGTGCTCCCCCATCCTGCCTGGCCCCCGTCAGGGCACCCTCACTCTGCTGGAACGACCAGGAGTGCGGAGACTGCGTCTGCCTTGTCCACCATGCTCTTCTCATTACCTCACAGATGCTTGCCTTTTGTCAGCGTGTTCAACAAACACTTATTGAAAGTAAGAAAAAAAGGAATGAATGAATGAATGAATGAATGAGAGAATAAAACACACCATATTCAGATGGGCTCAGCCATGAAAATTACACTTGCTCCACCACAAATGGCTTCGCCACAATGGCCCCAAACACATGATGTTGCAGAGATTCCTCAGGTCAAGCCTGAACGCTAACACTCCCGTGCGGGAGGCTTAGAAAGCTTTCCTCCCATCACCTTCCTATTCGGATGAGCACATCCCAAAGGAGACTCATCTCTTGAAATGCTCAATAAAAAGAATGCATGTACTTTTCCTAATACACAGGATTACCCAATTCTTCTCAGAGTCCATTCCTTCCCCCTGATCCACGTCCAGCTGGCCTCATCTCCATCCTCAACCTTTTCTGCACCAACAAAGACCTTTCTGTTTCTCAAATGAGAGGGATTCAAGCGGTCCTGAATCAGGCCAGTCACTGAGCGAGTCACTTGACTCCCGCAAGCCCTGCTGCTGCTTCTCTGCCCTCCTCTGTGTGTGCTGTGCGTCTTTCTTCCCGGCCACCGCTTTCCTGTTTTCAATCAACCATTCATTCTTCCCAACCACGCTGGGACTCGCCCTGCCCTGGCTGGACCGGCAGTCCTGTGGGGACAAGTACATGAGCCCCTGAGTGCGGTGACCGGGGTGCCAGGACTCCCATTCAAGGCCAAGATCTCCAGTCAAGCAGTCAGCACATGCCACAGGTGTAGCCAACCTGAACCGAGTCATCTGCGTCCTGTCCACACAGTTCTCAGTTCTCAGCAAGTGGACGAAAATAATACGGAGCTTTTGGTAAGAAATCGGATCATTTTACTTCTGACGGGTTATGCTCAGCATAAAGAACACGTTGAAAGCTCTGGGGCGTGCATATCAGATACATAACAGGACAATGTTAGCTCTCACCTTTCCTACTGCCCAGGTGTCGAAATGGCATATTTCTATTCAAGCCAAAGACCAGTGGGCCTTAAATCTATTTTTCCAAGCTCTCAAATCATATCAGAAGGTTTACTATCCATCAGAAGATATTTGAACCCAAATTTAATCCAAACCAGAAAAGGCCAATAGGAAATATCAGAACAAGAGATTGAAAGGCTACGCCTACCTGGCAAGAAGAATGTTCCTCACCTCCAAAATCAGGCACAAAGGAAGCAGTGGGAAAACCAGTGCACACGGAGTGCTCCCTGAGGTTAAACCTTAT